GTTTATTCTGGACACTATTTTGAAATTGGCATCTGAAGTCAGATATTGGCCAAATTGTCAATTTCTGACCACTTTATTGGGTAATTGAAATCAGTAAATGGGTGGTTTCTTGTACTCAATCAATAGAGCAAATAAAGTTCTAAAGAAATAGCTATGAGTTTAGTTGACTGGAACAATGGAATTAGCCGAAAATAGGGTTCATAGTGGGCAAAATCGCCAATGCATTTATATCGCCGAGATCGATAACTTCGCGAGAGCGTAATTCCATTAGTTTTCCATCAAATTTCATACTTTTGGTGTCATTACCATCGGGAAAAGATTCTCTATCATTTCCAAAAATTTTTTTTTTTCTTGAAAATTTTGTGAGACACACTTCAGGATTTGGGGTCTCGACAGTCAAAGGGTTAAGGTAAGAAAATAGTTCTGAGAATTTTTTAGAATTACTAGACTGAAGAGGTGCACTATTATTGCTATATGTTTTTTATTTTACTTAGTATGATTTTTGTGTGACATTGGTTTTCAGAAACATAACTCATGTTTTATGAGAGTCTGCTGTATATCTTGTATATTACCACAAAAGCCAGCTTTTAATTTGTTCTCTGTATGATCACACCTCACATTCATATCAGGCAAGATATTTCTATTTTGCTCATTATGCTTTTTGCAACAATTTTCAATGTAGTGTCATCAAAGCTATGATGGCAGACTTATGGGAAGACCATGATTGAATTGAATTAAATTCAATTCAATTCAGTTCAATTCAAGTTTATTCTCTATAAGGGTTACAATGTGGGGTTTACAGGTTTTGGGTATTGTGTGGTTTACATGTTATAAAATACTAATTACAGAGGGGGCCACTAGGACACCTAGCATGGCTAGGCATTTCGGGCAGACTTAGATTAATTCTTAACATTAAATCCTTACAGATTATAGTATTAAGGCTAAGTGACTACATCATAGTTTGTGAGTTTAGCAATGTGAATGCTTTTGTTTTGGCACAATACAAAGTGTCTATATTGGAGTATCATAGGCAAACTTATGACTAGTTAGGATTTATTATTTTAAGATGAATGGGTGATGGTGACAGTGTTTCTTCTTTTTGGGTCACCCCACCTCAGTGGGGGACAACTGCTGTTCAAAAAACTAAGTAGGTATAAACATTTGCAAATGAATGTTGTTCATTAGCAGAGTGCAGAGATGATTCACTTTTTCTCTTAACCCTTTCAGGGTCGACAGGCCCTCTCCAAGACTTGTCCTCAGGGTCGCCAAATTTTCAAAAAAAAAAATTATTTTTTCTTAGGAAAAGATAGAGAATCTTTTCCCAATCATAATGACACCAAAAGTATGAAATTTGATGGAAAACTTATGGAATTATGCTCTCGCGAATCTCGACGATCTTTACGCATTGGCGATTTTGCCCACTTTGAACCCTATTTTTTCGGCCAATTCCAATGTACTAGTCGACAAAAATCATAACTATTTCGCTAGAACTCCATTTTTTCTATTGAATGAGTACAAGAAACCACCCATTTACCAATTTCAACTATCCAATACAGTGGTCAGAATTTAGCAATTTTGCCAATTTCACACAAATTTCAAAAGATGCCAATTTCCAAATAGGGTCCAGAATAAACAAGAAAGACATTCCTGGCACTAAAATAACATTTCCTCTGTTCATTAGTCACATCCCCAGGCCCCTCTTACATTCTTTTGCTTTCCACTTTGAATTTTTATTCTCACAAAAAACAGAAAATTTACTGTTATGCAAACTACTGCATTAGTGTAGAAATGGTATAAATAATATCAGCGCACTTGTGAAAGAATATTAGACTCACCAGTTGACGTGTATTGGACACGTAGCATGATTTGTTTACTTTTGAACTTTGGCAAAAATCGAAGATTTCTGCTACTTTGAGCTCAATTTCAAGGTACTTTTCATTGTAAAACCAATGAAAATCATCTCAATTTCTGTAATATGTCTTCCATTCTATAAAATGAGATGAGGTAAACTAGAATACCATTGTAAATACCATACGAAAATACAGTGCAAAGTCGCTGTTTTAAACCAAAAACACTGTCAAAAGGTTTTTTTTTCTCATTACGCACTGTGCTGCAGGATTTTTTTATACTGTGCACACTGACCACATAGACCCATTCTTTCATATGTAGGCCTACCAGCTTTCTCTCACTAGATTTTAAGGCGCTAGAATTTAAGTGTACTAGTACGTCAAAAACCCTGATGCGTAAGCCGTACTAGTACGTCCGAAACCCTGAAAGGGTTAAATGTCTAAATTGTTATAATAAGTATAGGTGTAGTTTTTCAATTCCACTTATTTTCTTAGGAGTCGGAAGTCATTCTTTAATGAAATTTGGTTATTAACCCTTTGAGGGTTTTGGTCGTACTAGTACGTCTTACGCATAGGGGTTTTTGACGTACTAGTACTCATAAATTCTAGCGGCCTCAAATCTAGTGGGAGAAAGCTGGTAGGCCTTCACATGAAAGAATGGGTCTATGTGGTCTGTGTGCACAGTCTAAAAAAAATCCTGCAGCACACAGTGCATAATGAGAAAAAAAAAACTTTGACCATTTTTTTTAATAAATCAGCGACTTTGCAGTACATTTTTGTATGGTATTTATTGTTGTATTCTAGTTTTCTTGGTCTCATTTTATAGAATGGAAGACATATTACAGAAATTGAGATGATTTTGACTGGTTTTACAATGAAAAGTACCTTGAAATTGAGCTCAAAGTAGCAGAAATGTTTGTTTTTTACCAAAGTTCAAAAGTAAACAAATCATGCCAAGCGTGCAATACACGTCAACTGGTGAGTCTAATATTCTTTCACAAGTGCACCAATAATATTTATACCATTTTTTACACTAATGCAGTAGTCTGCATAACAGTAAATCTTATATTTTTTGTGAGAATAAAAATTCAAAGTGGAAAGCAAAAGAATATAAGAGGGGCCTTGAGACGTGACTAATGACTAGAGGAAATGTCATTTTAGTGCCAGGAATGTCTTTCTTGTTTATTCTGGACCCTATTCGGAAATTGGCCTCTTTTGAAATTTGCGTGAAATTGACAAAATTGCTAAATTCTGACCACTGTACTGGATAGTTGAATTTATAAATGGGTGGTTTCTTGCACCCATTCGATAGAAAAAATGGAGTTCTAGCGAAATATTCATGTTTTTTGTCGACTAGTACAGTGAAATTGGCCGAAAATGGGGCTCAAAGTGGGCAAAATCGCCGATGCGTAAACATCACCGAGACCGCTAACTTTGCGAGAGCATAATTCCATAAGTTTTCTATCAAATTTCAAACTTTTGGTGTCTTTATGATTGGGAAAAGATTCTCTATCTTTTCATAAGAGAAAATAATTTTTTTTTTTTTTTAAATTTGGCCGACCCTGAGAACGAGTTTCGGAGAGGGCCTGTCGACCCTCAAAGGGTTAACCCTTTCAGGGTCCAATGGCCAAATTTCAAAATGTGCACCAGGGTCCAAGAATTTTCAAAAAATAATTTTATTTTTTCTCATGAAATGGTAGAGAATCTTTTTCTGATGGTAATAAAACAAAAAGTACGAAATTTGATGGAAAATTGACAAAATTATGCTCTCGTGAATTTTGATGTGTCAGCGATATTTACGCATCGGCGATTTTCCCGACTTTGACTCCCATTTTAGGCCAATTATAGTATTCCAGTCAACCAAATTCTTAGCTATTTCACTAGTATTACTTCTATTCTATCGATTGAGTACAAGAAATCGCCAAGTCAACTGTTTCAACAACAAAACAAAGTGACTGGAAATTGATAATTTGGCCAATTTAATGCAAAGTTAAAATATTCCAATTTCAAAATAGGGTCCAGAATAAATAATGGAGACATTACTGGCACTAAACTAACATTTCTTCTGTTCATTAGTTTCATTTTCAGGCTTTACAAATGAATTCCATTTTGATTTTTTATTCACATAATGAATTTTTATTCAAACCAAAAAATAGAAGATTTACTGTTATGCAATACTGTAATAATTGTATAAATAATATCACCACATTTGTGAATGTATATTAGACTCACCAGCTGTCATGTATTAGACTTGTGAGGTCATTTGTTTACTCTTGAACATTGACAAAAATTTAACATTTCTGCTACTTTGAGCTCAGTTTCAAGCTATTTCCAGTACTAAAACCAATCAAAATCATCTCTATTTCTGTAGTATGTCTTCCATTCTATCAATTGAGACCAAGAAATTGCAAATCTTTCTTCTTTCTTTCAACACACCCGCCATATCCCACCGAGGCGGGGTGGCCCAAAAGGAAAAACGCAAGTTTCTCCTTTTACATTTAGTAATATATACAGGAGAAGGGGTTACTAGCCCCTTGCTCCCAGCATTTTAATTGCCTCTTACAACACGCATGGCTTACGGAGGAAGAATTCTGTTCCACTTCCCCATGGAGGTAAGAGGAAATAAACAGGAACAAGAACTAGTAAGAAAATGGAAGAAAACCCTGAGGGATGTGTATATATATACTTGTACATGTATGTGTAGTGTGACCTAAGTGTAAGTAGAAGTAGCAAGATGTACCTGAAACCTTGCATGTTTATGAGACAGAAAAATGGACATCAGCAATCCTACCATCATGTAAAACAAAAATTGCAAATACAGCTATAAAAAACCTACGAAAAACAACGCAAAGTCGATGTTTTAATCGAAAATTATGGTCTCAGTTTTTTCTCTCATTATACACTGTGTGCTGCAGGATTTGTTTTGTGTGGTGCACACATACCACATAGATGTATTCTCTCATATCTAGGTGCAAATTTAATGCTCACAGCTTATCAGAATGAGCTGAGCTCATGGCATAGATCTATGGTTTGGACCCTGAACGTAAAGCCGTAGATCTACGGCACGGACCCTGAAAGAGTTAATGAGTTTAGATTGACAAGATAGGCATTAAGTTTTATACTAAGTAAAATCTTTATTTTTTCTCTTTTCAGGTTTTGCAGTAAACATATGAATTTACCTCCCCACCCAAATATTGTAGAGATGCCGTGTGTGTTTGTTGACAGTATTCCTTTCCTAAAAGACTCTATGCAACTGTATCCAGATGCTCTTCCAACACGAATTAACCCGAGTGGATACGGCAGGAACATGAGTCTTTTTTGTGTTATGAAAAGGTGAGATGTTTTCCTTACATCAGAATAATAAGGTATTATGGATAAAGCATCAAACACTATGACAGGTTAGATACAAAGTATATCCCATAAGTAAGAATTGTGTATATTATTATGAATGATTGTGAAATTGTTACCTTCTTTTTTTGGGTCACCCTTCCTTGGTTAGTGCTGGCCAACATGTTGGAAAAAAAAAAAAAAGGATTAATAGATATAGCAGAGGAGGGTATTTGGTTCAGTACGGTAAAACCTCCATATTCACGGGTTTGCTTACCGGGGTTTCAGGTATCCAGGGTTCACCGTGGCCCAGAAATATTAAGAGTGGGAGCAGGATTCAACTTGGAAAATTTTAATAATAGTCCAATTTCAAATATTTTTTTATTGTAAGTTAAGAAGATGGTCCAAAGTGTTCACTAGAAGTTTCATGAAGTTTGCCAGAAAAAAATAAGAAGAGAAACAAAGGTGGGAGACGGCCGACTTGTTGAAAAAAAAAAAAAAAAAAAAAAAAAAAATCTTGGTAAAATTTGTGTTAAATTGTTAATGTTTAGGATGTTATAGTTGATTTACTTTGAATAAGTAAAGGCTAAAGACAAACTGTAATGAAGGAATTGAATGACTTATCATTATACAGTTGGGCCCAGTTTTACGGCATTTCGCTTTACGGCGTTTCGCTATTGTAGACATTTCAAATTATGACAAAAACTCGCTATACAGCTCCCGCCACCTGACTTTCTAATACGGTCACTGCGCCCCACCCGGTTTGTTTATATTCTCTGTGTGCTCCGTGAGCTCCGCATCTTTCCATTATGTCTAGAAACTTTCCAAAATTTCAAGCGTTTTTAAAAGTTACTTCATATTTTATATATTCTTTCTTTCAACACACCGGTCGTATTCCACCGAGACGGGGTGGCCCAAAAGGAAAAACGAAAGTTTCTCCTTTTACATTTAGTAATATATACAGGAGAAGGGGTTACTAGGCCCTTGCTCCTGGCATTTTAGTTGCCTCTTACAACACACATGGCTTATGGAGGAAGAATTCTGTTCCACTTCCCCATGGAGGTAAGGGGAAATAAACAAGAACTAGTAAGAAAATAGAAGAAAACCCACCGGGGTGTGTATATATATGTTTGTACATGTATGTGTAATGTGACCTAAGTGTAAGTAGAAGTAGCAAGACGTACCTGAAACCTTGCATGTTTATGAGACAGAAAAATGGACACCAGCAATCCTACCATCATGTAAAAAATTGCAGGCTTTCGTTTTACACTCGCTTGGCAGGACGGTAGTACCTCCCTGGGCGGTTGCTGTCTACCAACCTACTATCTAGGATATTTTATATATTATTTCTTTCTTTCAACAAACCGGCCATATCCCACTGAGGCAGGGTGGCCCAAAAAGGAAAACAAAAGTTTCTCTTTTCAAATTTAGTAATTTATACAGGAGAAGGGGTTACTAGCCCCTTGCCCCCGGCATTTTAGTCGCCTCTTACAACACGCATGGCTTACGGAGGAAGAATTCTGTTCCACTTCCCCATGGAGATAAGAGGAAATAAACAAGAACTAGAAAGAAAATAGCAGAAAACCCAGAGGGGTGTGTATATATATGCTTGTACATGTATGTGTAGTGTGACCTAAATGTAAGTAGAAGTAGCAAGATGTACCTGAAATCTTGCATGTTCATGAGACAGAAAAAAAGACACCAGCAATCCTACCATCATGTAAAACAGTTACAGGCTTTCGTTTTACACTCACTTGGCAGGATGGTAGTACCTCCCTGGGTGGCTGCTGTCTACCAACCTACTACCTAGAATATTTTATATATACATGTATACTTTGATAATTATACTTTTGTATACCTGTACCTAAATATATTTACACACTGTGCTGGCGTGCAGGTACACATTAAAATCAGTAAGAGTGTCTTATGTCTTGAGGTACAGTATTAGTAATGGTAATAATAATAATAATAATCATCATCATTGAGTCTCATTAATTGTCATATATTATGTTAATATATACATTTTCATTAATCTATCTATGATATTTGTTCAAAATTATGTAATAAATATGATATGTAACATATAAACATGATAACTGCATCCCACAGTAGAATAAATTAACATAAATATAAGATGTGGTAGCCAGATGACTTGCAGGAGTGATGGCAAGAATGTTTTCTCTAGTCCAACATCAGGGAAAATGTGTTACTGGGGTAACTGTAGATAATTATTACTTTCATATGCCTTCGCTAAGAGCGTCATTTTTTCTAAAAATGATGTTACACGAGAATGGGAGTGTTCCTCTTTATTTATTCTACTGTATCAGCATGGAGACAACGTGTACACAGACCAGAGGCGTACACCTGGTTTGTTTACAAAACTCGCGTTCGCCTGGTTTGTTTACATAACTCCACGCCTGTCCTCTCTCATGCACTCATTCTCTCTCTTTCTCATTTATTTGTTTTATCTTGTTTACTCACCTCTGACCCTATATTAAGACTACAAATATTTTAAGTAATGAGTGAATTGTATATGCTCTGGGACACTTTAAATGTCATAGAATATTATGTGTGAGTGGGGTGGCCTGGTATGGTAGCTTGGCTGGCTACCATACATACCACACTTGATTTCTTAGAGTAAATACTACTTGTCTCACCCTACATTAAGACTACAAATATTTTAAGGTAAGTGATGAGTGTACCATATGTTTTAATGCCTAGTTCTATTGCTAACTTAATAGATGTTAGTGTAAACTTGTTAGTGAGTATTTATATGCATTTATAAGTGAAAAAAAGGGTGTTCCACTTTACGGCGATTTCCACTTTACGGTAGGAGCCTGGAACCTAACCTGCCATATAAGTGGGGCCTTACTCAACTCTGAACTGACCTGGAGGGTATTCCGGGGATCAACGCCCCCGTGGCCCAGTCCACAACCAGGCCTCCCGGTGGATCAGGGCCTGATCAACCAGGCTGTTACTGTTGGCTGCACATAGTCCAACGTACACACCACAGCTCGGCTGATCCGGCACCGGATTTAAGTATCTGTCCAGCTCCCTCTTGAAGGCAGCCAGGGGCTTATTGGTAATTCCCCTTATGCTTGGTGGGAGACTGTTGAACAGTCTTGCAGTCTTGGGCCCCAGACACTTGTGGTGTTTTCTCTTAGTGTACCAGTGGTGCCCCTACTTTTTATTGGGGGTATTTTGCATCGCCTCCCTAGTCTTTTACTTTTGTAATGAGTGATTTCTGTGTGCAAATTCAGGACCATTCCTTCTAGGATTTTCCAAGTGTAGATTATGATATATCTCTCTCACCTGCATTCCAGCGAGTACAAGTCAAGTGCTTCCAAGCGTTCCCAGTAGTTGAGGTGTTTGATGGAACTTACATGTGCAGTAAAGGTTCTCTGTACACTCTCTAGATCTGCAATTTCACCTGCTTTGAATGGAGATGTTAATGTACAGCAGTATTCCAGCCTAGAGAGAAAAAGTGATTTGAAAAGGATCATCATTGGCTTGGCATCTCTTGTTTTGAACGTTCTCATTATCCATCCTATCATTTTCTTTGCGGTTATGATTGTGGCACTGTTGTGATCCTTGAAAGTGAGATTCTCAGACATTACCACTCCCAGGTCCCTCACATTATTTTTCCACTCTATTGTATGGCCAGAGTTTGTAGTTCTAGTTATTATCTCCTTCAGTTTTCCATAACGGAGTAGTTGGAATTTGTCCTCATTGAACATCATGTAGTTTTCCATTGCCCATTGGAAAACTTGGTTTATATCTTCTTGGAGGTTAACCGTGTCCTCAATAGATGACAGTCTCGTGCAGATCCTAGTATCGTCTGCAAAGGATGACACAGTGCTGTGGATTACATCTCTGTCTGTGTCTGATATGAGGAAGAGGAACAGGATGGGGGCAAGTACTGTGCCTTGTGGAACAGAGCTTTTCACTATGGCAGCTTCCGATTTAACTCTGTTGACCACTACACTTTGTGTTCGATTGGTTAGAAAATTGAAGATCCGTCTCCCCACTTTGCCAGTTGTTCCCTTAGCATGTATTTTGTGTGTTATTATGCCATGATCACACTTGTCAAAGGCTTTTGCAAAGTCTGTGTATGTTACACCTGCATTCTGTTTTTCTTCCAGTGCTTCCAAGACCATATTATAGTGATCCAGTAGTTGCGAGAGGCAGGAGCAACCTGCTCTGAACTCATGTTGCCCTGGATTGTGCAGTTTTTGGGAATCTAAGTGGTTTGCAATCATGCTTCTTAGCACTTTTTCAAAGATTTTTATGATGTGGGATGTTAGAGCTATTGGTCTATAGTTCTAAACTAATGCTTTGCTGCCACCTTTATGGAGTGGGGCTGTATCCGTTGTTTTAAGTGACTGTGGAATTTCATGTATGTCTAAGCTCCTTCTCCATAGTATACTTAGGGCACGTGAAAAGGTTTTCTTGCAGTTCTTAATGAACACAGAGTTCCACAAGTCTTGGCCCAGGGCCGAGTGTATGGGCAAGTTGTCAGTGACTTTTTCAAATTTATCGGAGTTGGGGTAATGTTGAAAATCTGGCATACATTGATGAAGTTTTGAGGCTCATTCATGAAGAAATCATTTGGATAGTCAATCTTGAGACTGATTAGTGGCTCACTAAACACAGAGTTGTACTGGGATTTCAGTATCTCACTCATTCCTTTGTTGTCATCTGTGTAAGTCCTATCTTGTCTGAGCAAGAGCCTAATACTAGATGTGGTAGTTGCCTTGTTTTTGGCATATGAAAAGAAATATTTTGAATTTATTTCAGTTTCGCTAATCGCTTGTTTGCTAATCTCTTAGTTTGCTCCTCCTGTCTCTCCTGGTTCCTGTAAGAGTCCTTTAACTCAAGTTCGATACTTTCCATTTCCCTGGTCAGCGCTTCCTTCTGCATATCAGATAATCTTGCATTCTTGAGGAGCTTGGTGATTCTTCGTCGTCTTCTGTAGAGGGAGTGTCTTTCTCTCTCCAGTTTACTCCTGCTCTTCTTCTTTCTTAGGGGAATATGCCTAG